ATATTCTTTTGTCCCAACCATTGTAGGACAGACACACTAATGTCAATCAAAAAAAAGAAAGAACAATCAGATTAACTCAGCACGTGAACATATGTTTATGTAATGGTGCTCAAAATAAAAATGACAGTCGATTAGAAAGTCACTAAATCAAAAACAGTTAAACATTATTGTCACATCTAAACAAACTTCTCTAATCAACTAAATGACTGATTGATGAATAACTAAAGTGTGTATTATATTTCTTGTCAAAGGAATTCATATGCGGACTGAATGAAGGTTTACAATTAAATCTGGTTTCATAAAATACAGACAATTTAGTGGGTATGTGGGGGGAAGTATATTTATTTTGCATTCATCTTTTTTAATAAAAAAGGCGAAACGTTTAGTGAACCACGACATGTGTCGATGCATTAACAATACAAAAACCAGTTTAAACACGATTCAACTAGAGAAAAGATAAAATGAAAAATTTAACATTTTTAGTCGAAATAATTTATGAAAGAAATTGGTCTGGCGAAATCAAGTAAATGACATTCTTAGTTATTAGTTTGTATCTAACGTGACTAACTCACTCTGACTGGGTATTATTGAATGAGTGACAAAACTTCATAATTATGGTAAGGTGGTTTTTCTCTTCCATGTACTACCTATCATACCAAGGTGATGTAGCATATCACTCGAAAAAATGAACAGAAACTAGCAACCCGCACGATGGTAACAGCTACCATACCACAGCAAATTATCATCATTCGTTGGTGTGTATGTGTGGAAAAACCAGCAGGTTGGGTGTCAAGTTTAGGCTACGTGGATTAACCAACGAGATTTTAAACCCGTGCCCCATTAACTTATCGATCAGTCGTTCGATACACGTGCTCATTATATTTAAACACCAATTAGTTTCGTTTTCTGTCTTGATTGAAGTAAGATGGAAATGAAAGCGATCTATCTACGAAAAAACACAAATATATTCAGTGATTATTCATCGAAACACTTTGTTCACTACTTATTCAGGTTTGGTAAATATTTAAAAACATTTATTAAGATAAGTGATACATATGAGCTGAGACTATATATTTCTGTATACCTTGAGCAGTTGGTAATAAAAAATAGCATCTATTCTACAGTTTCGTTTTATATTTCCATGAGATGTTTTTGCGGAATCAAGTACAGTTGTATCGGAATAGTGCTCACCGGTTCACCACAACTTTGTAAATGAAGACCCAGGAATCAGAAGTAACCCGGTAGATAAAAATGTGATCAACCACCGCTTAAGTGAAAATCAGACAGGTATCCTGATCTTCTGTTACTTTTAATAAAAGGCAAGGGGCATTTCTTATCCGAATGTAGTTTATTTCGGTTATGTCCTTATTTGAACTATATCTCATAGTACTTCTCACCATTTCCTGAATAATTTTCCTATAGTCTTCCGTCGCAAGCTGTGTCACAAATAAAATAATGAAAATCTCTTGTCCAATTTTATTTGTTTATTGTTCCGACTTTTTTAGGATAAATTAAAACAAAATTTTAAAGAATTGTACCACAATTACTTTGACAGTTGTCCAAAAACCAAGCGATAAAAAAAGCAAACTTATATTCAATACTAGAGTAGATGGAAAAGGCTACTAGCTATAAGAAAAGCAGAAACAATTATGATAATAAATAGTAAGAATAACAACTCTATATATTGTTACGGAACAAAGACTAAATTTATAGCGAATTGCTAATTAGTGAAGACCAGAGATATAGAGGTAGTAAATCATAAGATAACCACATAAAAACATGAATGGTCGATGATGATAAACAGCCTAGTTAACCAGGCATCGATTCTTATACTCGCCGAAATAAGACCTTTGGAATTGACTTGAAAAATGTAGTTCAATTCACGAATAGTCATCAAGGTATTTAAACAATCACATATAAGACAAAATTATACACTTGAAATTACTTTTCCATCAGCATCAAGCCTGATAGCCGAACCAAAATCAATTAGCTTCAGGTGTCCACTCCTTTCAATTGCGAAATTTTCAGGCTTTAGGTCACTAAAAGATAATAAAGTAATTTTCAATTATTAGTCAAAATCAAAAACGATAAAAATGTCCTCAAAAATCATTATGGTTTATCATTTATAGGAAGTCATATGGTGAAACTATGATGAAATTCCAAGTCATCTTTACCTAGAGAATTTGAGAAGATATAATCACAATAAGAATAAACTGCCAATAAATAAACATACCAATGAATATAGCCCATTTGGTGCAATGAATGAACGGCTTCCACAGCTTCAGCACAATAAAACTGTATCATTTTTGAATCCAACAAATGACCAACTCTGAAAACAAAATATATCAAGAGACTTTAATCTGAAACAATCCAAGATGCTCGATTTTTAAAAATTCACTAGCCAAAAAGTGTAGCTACATGAAAATCAACAGTAGAGTCAGTCCCAACTTGGCAGTTAATCTGATAGTAGTGCAAGTTAGTAATTAAGTATACGTTGCCCGGTTTTAGCCACACTTCCGATCAATTTATTTTATTTTATTTCAACACATAAATATTGGTACAAGAGGGCACCAAATATATATGCGCCACACCATATTTGTGTGTGTGGGCTGGGATACTTGAGGGACCCCGAGGGAAGACTGGATTATTAGCAATCGTAGTGACTTGGGAACATGGTCACAAAGTCCAATGGATACACGAACTTTCTGTAAGTTTCTGATGTGGTCGCTTCGTGATTGGAAGGACATTAACACTGAAAAAAAGAATCCATGGGATAAGCTGAAACGCGACATTTTCAGGGTCAATTATTCCTAACCGCTTTTTTCTGTTATGAGAAGGCAGCAACATTGTAGATGTTAGTTGCCTGAGGAAAATATCTTGGTGCTGTCACGCTTCAGTACAGTCAGCAGTATGACTTCGCTATTTGACCATGAGTTTGCTGCTTTTAGTCTAACTATTCTGAAATCGACGTGTTAGGCATCGTGAGACCTAAAGGAACATTTGTTCCAGTCAATATACCTCGATCGGATCACCACGATAAGTAAACCGGACAAGCACGTCAATGTAGCAGTCTTTTGTTAGAGTCCCATTTGTATTTTGCGTTGACCACCCTTAACAGCAGCATATAAGAACAAAGAAAGCACGTGATGTTGGTTGAGTAACTGTAAAACGAGGGTTTACTTGGGTAGTGTTCTTATCAGTCCCACAGAATCAACACTGGACTGTGTAATAAACTACGTTGTCCGGACTGAATATGTCTTTGTTTATCACCAAATATAAAGTCGACGTAAAGCGGCTTATTTATAATCGATTCCCAAAAATACAAACACCATTCACTGTGACACGAGCAGTAATCATCTCATGTTAATATACGTGTAGATGCAAAAATGTAGAACGCGCATTTCTGCAATGAGCTAAGTTGTTCATTTATTTTTGCCTTCTATACATCCAATCAAAGCAAAAATATGAAATAGATTACTCCGATTAGTATGGTTTGTTTAATTTTAGAATTATACAGATATTTACATAAAATTCTGTCCCAATGCTTTACCTGCAGTTTTTTGGTAGAGAGACATTTTTATTTAGCCTAGATTAGTATGGAGTTTCTATCTTAAGCTAAAGACAACTTCGTTAGCTAATTTTCATTGTGATGCACATATAACAAACAATAGTTACAATTTATGCTAAAATTGGTCAAGTAAGAAGGTCACTCACTTGCTTAAGAATATATACAAATCGCCACCGGGTTCATAGTCCATCACAAGATGCAAGTGCTTTTCATCTTGAAATGCATAATGCAGGTGTGGAAGCCATGGATTTTCAATGGCAGTTGCTTGCGCTAACACAGTCCTTTCAAGCAGAATCTGAGAGCCCTCCTAAATAGGCAAATAATGCAAAGAAATTATAAGGATCACTAAATCAAGAAAACCTACCGGATCATGATGCAACCACGCTCCTTTAAACTGAGATTTCATTGCATATACTGAATGAGGTGGCGATACCTCACGTACTACACGTACTATTCCACAAGCCCCTCTACCAACACATGCGCCCAGCTTGAAATCCGACAATTTGAGACGGAATTCTGATAATCGAGTAATGATTGGCTTCACTACAAGTAAAAGAAAATGTCTGTAAGATAACTTTTATCAGTGATGTAAATTAATAATAAAGTACGTGGTAGATTACGGCTAATACAAACTTAACTATCCAACATCATAAAATATTATATTGCTTATGTGAATGACAGAAAAAACTTATAGATTATAACTACGGAGAAAAATTCACTAAAAGAAGTTTTCCTGACAATTAAACACCACGTGAATTGGAAAATACATTACCTCGTCTTCGGAAGAATTTCGCAGCCAAAACGGTAGGAGAGTGTTCGTATTCATCAGTCCCCCGATTTTCTGGATTATCCATACAGTCATGATAGATTTGATCAACCAAAGAATTCGTTACGAATAAACAGTCTAGAAGACCGTCGATCGATAACAAACACGGATCAGGATCAATCGGACGATTTCGTTTGTTAGCGGGTAGAATTTGACAATTATTCTGCGAACCTTTTTTGAATGAAAGACTGATTCCCATGCTGGGAGAAAAAAGAAGCGGAGGCCTTGTTAAGAGATCAAATAAGTAACTCGCACGTTGAGATGTCCAGCCCAAACGTAAAGCATCTTCTAGATAGACCATGCTGTTATTGCTGTTTCGAGATTTCGTTTTAACCTGAAATATACATTTATCCTGAGGTGTCTCCACACCATCAGTGTTCATTTCAATATCCAAATTAGCTTTCTTATCTTTCCGTTTTGCATTACTTTTAATTTCGATCTGTAAGTGATGTGGAGTTGAGGAAATTAGGAAATTATCAATGGATTTTATCGGTGAAGCCATTCTTAACCTAAAAGTAAATCTTCCTTTATTAATGAAACAATGAATTTTAAAAGAAGATGACGCACAGAAAAATATTTATTTTTCATAAATATTCGATGACAGTGTCATTTGGAAGGAATTAATTTAAAAATATTTGTAGGAAAAGAGGCCGCAGTTTTAAAAGAACTTGATAGGTACAAAAGCTGTTTAGCAGTACTCAAACGTACTGCGCGTGTTAGCATTGTCGAAAGGAACTGTACATGATTGTCAAATTGCTCAGAAAGAAACTCAATTTTTACTGCAAAACGTGAAGTTTCATAGTTTGCAGATAAAAGGCTCTTTAGCCATAATTCTCGTAGCTGAAGGCCCATATTACAAAGGTTATATATCTCTGTAAAAAGAAGCGAAGTAGATTCGGTTAATAGGCACACGGACTGTAATTCATTGAGCAAATTTTTATGATCTTGCACAAGATCAGAGAAAGTATTTGTTTCGGGGATATTGTGATTGATAGATGTAGTAGAATAAAATTCAGGAAGACACCATTTAGATGAAAATCGAGTTCGGATAGCTTCAATTCTGTGTGCCAAGAAATCATGTAGGCTTGTGAAGATAAACAACATTTTTACACGTAGTATGATAAGATAGTGGTTGATGGGGAAACAAGTTGAAACTCTTTTCTCTGGAGTGCTGAAATGTAAGTTTTCAAGACTCCATTTAACGTATTTAATCTGAAGGATAAGTAATACAAATTTCATTTAATTGAGATAAACGCTGAAATGAAACAAGTGATCAAAAGTGTTTAAACGACACTGCACAAATAAAAATATGAGAATGACCGCGTCAAATTCCGTAGAGAATAAATGACTAAAAGTTTATAAACTGCTAAAATTCCATCTTTACAAATGGAAAGACATAAACCACCATATAGCTTATGCCTATCGTTCCCCCCCCCAATAACAAGTCAGTCAGCTACAATGTAATACCAGGCACATATATTCATCGGTCCGAGTTGCCACCTCATTAGCGCATTAAGATTAACACCAAATCTATAGTAGTAGTTACTTCAATGGTAGTAATATATAAAAGAAAGATTGCATATAATGATATAATACAGGAATTAGTTCGTAGAAAGAAAGATATAAAGCGATTTCAATCTCACGGTTTAAGGGAAGAGAAAGTGTGTATACACATAAGCCATTGTGATCGATTCTGAGCCATGTCACACAGAATCTCCAACCACTGGTGACGATAGTCATGTGGACCCCAACCAAGTATTCTGCATCTACCAACATGGCTCAGACCAGAAGTTAGTGACTTCAAGCACTGATGCCACGTTTTGGTTTGGCCGCCCTAACTTTCTTCCAACCATCATCAACGCCGGGCAACATCGTGCGTCATGGTATTCGGTGTCCAGGCATACGCAACACGTGGCCCAACCATCTCAGTCAATGAAGATTCAAAACCACATCAACTGATTTACCATCATTCCTTAGTACCCTGAGTCTAACCTCACTATTACTCACCCGGTGATCCTAGCAGATGCCAGCAATATTTCTAAGGCATCTGTGGTCAAATACTAGTAGCTTACGAGTGTCTTCTACTCTTAATGACCACGTTTCGCAGCCGTAAAGTAAAATAAAACGAACTGCTGAGGAGTATACTCGTTTTTTTATTGATAGACGGATATCTCACCTTCGCCATAGGTGACGTAAGTTGGCAAAAGCCAAGCGAGCCGAACCCGACTGTTGTTGCTACCTCGACGTCGTGGTCGGGCTTGCCCATCATGATGAAGCGACCGAGCTATACTGGCTGGAACAATCGTTCTTTAATATTCTACCATACCAGACAGGTCGGCTGAAGAGCGGTAAGACTAAAAGCAACAAACCCAATGTCCAAAGGCGAAGTCATACTGCTGACTGTACAGAGGTGTGACAGCAGGTGTTTCCTTCAGACAACCAGCATGACAGAGATGCTGCCTTCACACTAAAGAGGGGTGGGGTTAGAAAAGCTCGACCCTAAAAATGCAAACCTCGCCTTATCCCACGGATATCCGTCTCCGCGGTAAGGTCTCAACAAGTACGGAGCTAACACGAAAATTACTCATAAAAGTTCGTGTGTGACCGACCTAAAGCAGTTGTCCCTTGGGCACTGCGGTCACGCTTTCAGGTCACTAAGACCACCTCTAATCCATTTTCCATTTCAGGTACCTCCAGAAGAATCCTTCCACAGTGTGGCCAAACGGAAAGTGATAACCGCTTTCATACCTCTAACAGCACTCAAGACCACTGTATTCATAATCAACACCCCAAATGGCAAGTAGAGACCCAAAGAAATTGATCAGATTAGCAATCAAATTTAAGCAAACCACCAAAAACGTTTCATGAGCGCTTCGCTCATTAACACCAACCTTTTTTGGTTCCGTCACTCACACAAATGTACATCAGTGATGACAGATTTCAGTTAATACATTCAGCAATATTTCCAATTTATTTAACACCTCTAATAAAGATCAAGAAGTTACCAGCCATGGGCAGGCTAGCCAAGTGAAAACAACCCAACTAAATGACTAATCCCCCTTCCCAATTTACGACCTAACATATACCCTTTATTCATATTGTATGTTAACTCGAACTGATCTACGTACATACGAAGTTCTACGTTGCGACTGACTGACCTTATAATGAATCTATGACAAACGATATCAATATTTAATTTTTGGCTGACAGAACGTGGCTCACAGGGATCAGTACAACTGCGAATAACCTGGCTACATACTTAGAGATCAACTGAAGGCAGATTGTCGTGAATAAGACACTGTAGTAATGGAAACAGTTGGAAATGTTAACAGCACTACTGCTTGTCATGCAAATAAGCTAGGAGGAAGACAAATGTTACACCACCTTTTCACCTTAGACGATTAGGAAGAACAATGTGGTATTTCTCCCAGGGAAAGTCACAGTGGAACTTGAAAATTTTAACGGAACTGTGCCTCTTATATAAATCGGGTCAGTCAGTCGCTCATCAAAAGAGCGAATAATAGATAAATCTGTAGAAGTGGGTAACCCATGAAATAAGAAATGCTCAAAATAAAATTCTAATAAACCCTTTGCTTGTACAGCCTCCAAGATAGCTTACGATGAATGCATACAGAATGTGAGCCAAGATAAAGATTCTAGCAAACTAGCTTATTCACTTTATAAAAATCAATCGGTTAGTCACATGCAAAGTAGAACCTAGTACATGCTCATAGGTCCAACTTGTCACATTACATTAGCACAGTGAAATGAAATTATCAAGAAAAATGCCAAAACAATGTAGTAGTAATAATATCAGTAGTACGAAAGAATAGGCACAAACAATATGATTTGAGAATGAATTGGTGAGAAAAGTATAAGCCAATACTAGGACTCAATAATTAAAGACCAAGTAAATGCGTCTGTGCCATCTCGATCAATTCTGAGAAACACCATTTAGTGTCTCCAGTCACTAAAGATAATCGCATTAACCCTAACCTGATACATGAACCTCCCAACAAACCTCAATTCAACAGCTTTATAGACTAGTTCCGCATCTTGATTTGGGAGCTCCTAACTTTCTTCCAACCTACTACACCACCTAAAGTCGCTTATTGAGGTAAGTGGTGGTTGGGCACACGTAAAACATCTTTATCACCATGAGCGACCAAGGTTCAGTACCGCAAATAAACTAGCCATAATTCCACACATGTTTCACAATCCGAGCAAGTGTCACTGTAATTTGGTGGCTACTAACGTTAGACCTTAAAGTACTTTGATGTCCAAATAATTGTTCGGTGCTCAAAGGTAAATCTGTAATACATGATCTTGTGTAATCATAAGACGAACCAATCATAAAAAAATGTGAGGACGTTCGTATACGAACCTAGCATCCTAGTCCGAGTGAACTAAACTAAGATATGACCAAGGTTTCAGTATTTCACGAAAGCACAGCTATAGACTCTTTGCGATTAATCAGTATTTAAGTATATTTGATCAAAAGTATGAGTCGTTTATGTGACGTTTGATTTATCTGGTGGTGAATAAGCTGCCCACCACTGGATTACATACAAGAATTACATTTACTTCACTTTTTATTAATGAGAATATTTCTAATTTCGTTGGTGAAAGCTAAGGACTATATACCGTATACAAGCATATAAAAAGCCATATCCTAGTGAATAGTTCAACATACCTGAAGCAAGAAAATGAAGACATCGTTATAAATTCCAATGCTGTTTTCATCCAAAATGATATTCGCTGGCCAGTCCAGGTGATAATTAAGTCTTAAATTACCAATCAAATCAAAAGTCAGTTCCATAGGTCGATCATCAACTGGTTGATCCATATTAAGGAGATCAAATGTGAAGAAAGGAGACTCTAGATACAGGAGTGAATGAGATACATGACGGTTCCTGAAAGCACCACTTAACTGACTCTGTAGATTAGCGGTGAGCTCAACAAGGTCCAGCTTCTTGGCTCTTGAAAATGCAATATTCCTGAAACACTGGCGAGCGAAATCGTTCATATTATCACCAGCACCGAAAAGATACACTGCTCCCGCAACAGCTAGGCATTTTCCTACAGTTCGCAAACCATTTGGCGCACGCATATGCGGGAGAAGCAATAACTTCAACAACTGTTGATTAACTGACATTCTTCGTTCACAAACAAAACGTTTTAATTGTGACTCCAAGGATTTGAGTGTGGTCCTTGATTCATCCATTTCGTAACAATTTTTCGAGACACAGGATTCTTGGTGGTTGAGTTTAAGACGAAAATGTTCGCTCAAGAGAGAATCCAAAAAGATACAAATAGAGTTTGAATCAACCGTTTCGAGGAAGGAGTAGTCCCCAATTTTTTCACAGATCGCAGTGAGTAAGAAGATAGTTTTAAGACCATCGACTACCTCATCCATGATAGGAAGAAACATATACGGTACGTGAGATGAGCCTAACACATTGTTTCGCGGCTTAATGGCATCAGACCAGAATTTTGGATCATTAGGTGGTATATTAAAATTTATATCAGCGAACAATTTTACCAGTGGGTCGGTGAAAGCCGCAGACCCTGAAAACAGCTGGACTAGTGAGGAAATGAATGGATGAAATGTGATGATGAACATAGAACGTAGTACTTTAACGATGTACCGGTCAAAGCCACAGTCTTCTAGTAAATCTGAAGTATGATGTAGTGCATCCAGCAAATTTGTGATCGTACTTGTCTCTCGTAAGTTATCAAGGTCGTTTTTAATGACATCTTTTATGATTTTCGACAATACCTTAACACGGTTACACCAAGGGATCAAACAATGATAAAGACTTATCATAGTGAAAATGCCTGGATTACGGCTTTTACTTTCCATCTCATGCAAGAACTCATCAAGTTGAGACAAAAATCCATTCAAGCAACTGGCAAAAGAGAAGGCGCAAGCATGAGATACGCAGTCCATTTTGTTGACTACAAAATGGACTACAAGTCTGATGAATAGTATATGATTATTCCAATCAACGAACTTCTCCAGCAATGAATCAAGAGCATTATAAGATAAATGGCTAACAGATACAAGATGTGGTTTGCAACAAATATCTACCATTTGGTTTTCACATAATTGCATAACAAAGCTCCCCCTGGCACCAAGCAGGACCCAGATAATTTCACGTATCAGTTGATACTCTGTTAAGTCATATCTTTCATCACATTGCCCAATGTGAGACAACCAACGATTTTTCAGACATTTATCTTTCAAACTAGTTGAATACCGACTCCACCAATACTCAGGCTGCAAGTTTTTGTAGATTAATTTAGATGGGAAGTTATAATTGGCGAAGATATGTTTGTTTGACGGAAGTTGATCCCAGCGACATGGGTATGAGTATTCAGAAGTATAATCCTGTTCCAGCTTTGTAACTTCTTCATTTGAAGAGTTGGAGTCACATGTTTCAACTGAAGATGAGTGAAATTGGAAGTTAATGTAATTCCTGGTACACATAAATTCAGCAGAAACTCATACGAAGCCTGATTCGAGGATTCAATTCATATTTGCACGTCCTAGAGATCACAAACAAAAATGTAGATGAAATAAACAAGTCATATCGCTTGTAGAATCGACACCTCTATATACACTATAATGCTTCACAAGCATTTAAAAAAATTAACATACGAAACTTTTCTTCAGTACAATATTATTCCATAATGAATATTATTGTTTATTATCTCCACATTTGTCAAGGAGAATTTGTGAACCGTATGTTATAAGCTGCGTCTAGGTAGCATTATTCCCTACCAAGTATACAGCTAAAATAATCGTCAAGTCTTTCTTTTAATGACTCAGCGTGGGGTGACATTACTATATATTCCTGTAGACAGTCCTTTTATTCACCCATTTGAACTGCGAAAATTAGCGTGGTATGCCATACTACCTATTCCTTGAAACAACTAGTCGGCTTAGATCTCATATTTCCGGACTCATTGACTTTCAAATATATCCTTAAATTTCTTTACTCCTGAATTCCGGTCAGCTGGATTTGGTATTACATTTTCAGTTTGGATAGAACAAGAGGCTAGGTGACCTGTGTAAGGTCTCTCGGTTGGTCCAACTTTCTTAAGAAAGTATTGACAGATGGGGCTTCAATTACGTTTTGAAGTGATGAGTTCCATCCCTTGGTGACTCGATGGAAAAGTGGGTAATCAGCTTATAAGTAATTTGTTCTGGAATTCCAAACATTTTCAAAGCATTTTCAGGAACTTACACATTCTGGGCCGTTAGGATAGACCCTGCAAGTTATTTTGAAGCTTCAAACTATTACCTTTACTTTTTATCGCTCTTTATGCACGAACATTGTCAGCAAATTATTAAACTGATGGTGTTAAGAGACTAGGAAGGTCATTTGTACAGGAGGAACAACACTAGCACTAAAACTGTTCCCTGAGACATTCCGCTGATCAAAGGTTCTCGGCTAGACGACTGAGAGTCGACCTATACCATATGTTGACGCTCAATAAAAGAATCCTTTATCCACATAAATAGATTGACTCCGACCCTGATATCACCTACATAGATAACGGACGGTTGTGGGTAGCTTTGTCAAATGTCCTGCTGAAGTAATTGTAAGCTACACATATAGGTAACTTATGACCTTTAAAGTTCAAAAAACTTTCACGGGCTTCTCACAAGTTTGTTAAGCATGAATAACCTGTCATAAAGCAAAGCTGCTTTTCAGAAAGAATCAGATCTTTGTCTAGATGATTAACTAACCCCTTAAGAATAATCTTATCTGAAATTTTAACAAAGGCGCTGATTGAGCTTACGGGTTGATAGTTCTCAGGTTAGTGTTTCGTAACTGTTTCGAAGACAAGATTTACTATGGGGTTCGCCCTGTTGCCTGTTACCCGCGTGAATGATCTGTGTCGAATTATTGGGGGCCTGATCGAGTTAGACAGGAATGGTGTAACCAACCAGCTAACGTTGAATTCACACCTTAAGGTCAGCACCTAACGTGGATAACCCTTTCATCGTATCAAGTTACTGTGGATGCTTTGAAGATCGTAAAACACAATCGACGTTATTACAGAAATATATTAGTAAGAGTTAATACAAGTAAGAGATTGCGAACACCACCGCATGTGCCAGTTCATGGAGTGCGATCAATTGATGCACGTTGGTTGTCCTTGTACTTGACGAGAGTCCGTGAACTGATCAACATTTGGTGACCCGATCGCTGAAAGATTTGTATAAAGTGCAGTGACATTTCACTGGTCCCACATAGTTCTTAGGTAACCTGCGTTGGGCTACTGAGAGTTTAAAACATATGTTTAATGAATTCGCGATAAAATTTGCTAGTTCCTTCGGTGATTTAGAATGCGATTCATCGGATCCCATGGATTTACATATACCAAGCAGATTTGCCAGACCAAAACACCGAGTTCTTTAATGCTCAGTTTCCAGAGTGTGGGTCGAGCCAAAGGTTGTGCATACATCGCTGAGGTAGTTTTATAATAAATGAGCTTCATCACAATTTTCGTCCACGAATGATGAAGTGTCAATGTCTCCCCATTAATCTGGAATAGTATATATACCCTTATCTTGTAGAACCATGGTCCAACTCGTTATTAGTTCCATTATAATAAGCCTTATCCTGAAAGTGTAGATATGTCATGATGTAAGTGCCTAATCTCTAAGATCATACGCGGAAATCACACCATTATCTACACTAACTCATCGTATCGTAACAATTATTAATATGTCTTGAGGTTCTAAAGAACATATTTAAGCTAAAGATAGGATTGATGATGTCACAGGTATTCAGTGTTTGACAACGCTTCTACCAGTAACACCTTCTAATATGATTTGTACCCACCGAGAGAAATCAAAAGACAGAGTCGAGGAGATCAGAAGAGTGTATTTGGCGATAACCAAAATATCGAAATTCTCTGATCTAATCTGGCTAGCGATTGCGGTTGATGTTGAGCAGGGCGTTACCACACGTGATCTGGTGCGGATGCCTGACCGAGCGCCTTCAGCTAGATGAGTCCACTAAAACATATGGTCAGCATCCAATGTCGAAAACTTACAGGGCTATTTATTTTGGGGATTTATTTACCGCTACAGATCACTACCCTCCTAGTGGGTTAGTGATGACCCTAAGACGTGGCCAGCCAGAAGTTTAAACCCAACGAGTTTGTCGTTGGTAAACACCCTTCTGATAGCTTGCTAGGATTAGCAGCGTCTGGTCGTCTTTCCTTACTATATGGGACCGAGGTACAACATAGTAAAAAAAGAAAATGTACAATGAAAATTTCAGTTCCTCATAAACGTCATCGTTCTTTTCCAGCCGTCCTGGAAAAGAAAGAAAATGTAAGTGCATGTCGAAATACACTCGTATGTGCGTAAAAACACAATGTCAGCGAAAAAAATTGGAACATAAACTAATTTACACATAATATCGTTAAACAAAATTTATAATGTTTTTTTGCTTTTTTTTGGAATAAAAATAAAAATACATAAGCATATTAAAATTGTTTTTTAAAAATATATTATATATCGTAAAAAGAAAGATCGAGATAATATTGAATGTCTAGTAGTGCCTTACGTGCAATAGTCGTTTAAATGTTCTGGAAATCTAACTCTTCTTCCAGAACGCGTCGTTTTAAGTTTATTTTTAGATACATTCGGAGTAACATCGCGTGTGTTGGTTGTCGATTGAGGAATTATGAGTGGAGCCGTGTCGTGCGATTGTACCGAAAGAAAATCGACGTAGATAGGATTTCCTTCTAAATACGCTGCTTTGAGGCGATCGATGCTGATGCTATCGTTGATTCCGTTCTTATCGATCATATAGTACTTCGGTTCGCGTTGAAGAACTTTGAAAGGTCCTTCGTATGCTGATTCGAAAGGTCGTCGATGCCAATCTCGACGAACGAAAACGTGTGTACTATATCGTAAGTCAGGTTGAACGAAAACATCAGTTGATTGAGGTCGAGTGTAAGCAGGTTTAACTGAACGCATTGCGTTTGTAAGCCTGTTCGTGTAGGAGGTTAGATCAATGTTCATTGAAGAGGACGAAGGATCCACGAATTCTCCTGGAAGTCGAAGTGTCGTTCCATAAACGAGTTGAGTCGCAGTGTATCCAATGTCAGCTTTCACTGCATTGCGGATACCTAGTAAGACGAGTGGAAGAGCGTCGGTCCACTGTGAAACGTTTGCAGCTGATAGTGAAGCTTTTAGTTGTCGGTGAAAGCGTTCTACCAACCCGTTAGCTTGTGGATGGTAGGCAGTCGTTCGGAAGCGAATGATTCCTAAAAGTGTGGTCAGACGACGGAAAAGTTCACATTCAAACTGACGTCCGCGGTCTGTAGTGATGGTTGAAGGGCAGCCGAAGTTTGCTACCCATCGTTCGACGAAGGTGCGAGCCACTGTTTCAGCAGTGATGTCCTTGATAGGTACTGCTTCTGGCCATCGAGTGAAACGATCTACACAGGTTAAAAGGTAAGAGTATCCATTTGAATTTGGTAACGGTCTTTATTCATGCCAGGCCAGCAAAACCCTTCTGCTATAAGCTTGAAGGTTGCACGAACACCTGGATGAGAAAGTTTGTGCAATGTATTGAAGACATTGCGTCGATAATGTTTCGGCCTGATTGGGCGATCCCTACCTGTAGATGTGTCACAAAGTAAGGTTTCCTTACCTGTTCCCATCTGTTTGATGCGTAGTTTAAGTGTTGTGGACGATAACGAGAAAGTGAGCGGTTTATGGTCCGTGAAAAGAGTGAATTCACGACCTTCGATATAGTGTTGGAAATGCCGTACAGCACAATACATAGCTAGGAGTTCCCTACCGAATGTGCTGTACCTCGATTCGGTGTCTAGCAACCTTCTAGAGAAAAATGCTAAGGGTTGCCAGGAGTTGTTAACCCATTGTTGTAAGACTCCTCCGACTGCCGAGTCGGATGCGTCCACTGCGATACTAATGGGTGCTTCGGTGTCCTGATGTGCGAGCATTGTTGCTTTAGCAATCAGTTCCTTAACTGTGGAGAATGCTTTTCGTGCGGTGTCGTCCAAATTAATGGATTTCGCATTTCCACGAAGTTGGTCGGTTAGCGGTTTCATGAGTAATGCGCATTTCGGTATGAAACGTCTATAGAAACTTACGAGGCCGTTAAACGTGCGTAATTGCTTGACGGTGGTCGGTTCTGGGTAATCCAGAATGGCCGCCACTTTGGTTCTAAGGGGTCGGATACCTTGAGCATCGATAGTGTGTCCCAGAAAGTCTAACGAGTCGGTTCCGAATTGGCATTTCTGAAAGTTTACAGTAATGCCATGTTTTTGAAGTCGTTCGAAAACAAGATCCAGATGCTTGAGATGTGTTTCTCTGTCCGGACTTGCGATTAGACAGTCGTCAACATACGCATGTACGAAGTTGAGACCTCGAAAAACGTCGTCTATGAATCTTTGGAATGTTTGAGCAGCGTTCTTTAGACCGAAAGGCATTCGCAAAAATTCATAGAGTCCGAAGGGAGTTATGATAGTTGTTTTCGGTATGTCGTCAGTAGCCATAGGGATTT